AGAAACCTCATAGAGCGCACCATGACTCGTGAGAACTCTACTTAATTTTCATTTCAAGACGTATAGTACGGTGATCTTACCTATTCAGTACATTATCTGTCATCAATAGTGTGATCTTCGAAACAATAGGAACCCCTATGAGTGTTTCCATGAACCCCTGGGAGTCTGCGGACCAGTGTCTGAAGACCGCTGCACTGAGATATAATTGGTTAGTACTCAGTTGAATTTCAAGTTTACAAAGACGTTCAGAAAGATAATCTAAGATTGCTTTTAAACCTTTAATATTTGCAAGTTCACAAAGATCCAGACATCTTTAAAGCGACAATGAAATAAAACTACAAAAATATACAAATCCACCCAAGAAATAAAATTAATCACCATTTTGAATGAATTTGCAAATATATCTATAAATATCATTATAAATGTCTCATTCTTGCAAGCACACCAAACGCAGCCATTGAAATATGAGATGCATCTTGGGACATTGGGGATTTGAGTGTTACTTCGAAATTGTTCCTGGTATACCGTGCAGTTGAATAGTTACGAGTACTTGAAAGGCTAAAACATCTTGGATGATGACGGAAACAGTCCTGTTTCCGTCCCCGTTCAAGATATCTCGTTTTATCCTTTCAAGTATTCGTATATACGTATATAGATAGTTATTGAAGAACGCACCTAATTACATATAGTCACTTAAAATATACTTTTTACTTTCATGGAAACGGCAAATAGGAGTGAGCGTGCTTGCGGAACTATTTTCCAGTAACGTATAGGATTACGTTACTCAAACTTTGCTGTGATGACTTCCGCGAGCAAAAAAAAAAAAAGTTACATTTCACATTTCTAGTGCTTCTAAACGCCAAGTAATAAGTATTTATGAACCAACCCCCTGACCCTTAACCTCGCCCCACACACATTTCAAGCCCTCAGAATCAGAAACGGCTGGTAAATTTTGTTTTTTGTGTACGGTCTTAATGAAGGATTCATCGCGCCCTACGTGTGAGGCAGCGTTGTGCGCACCCCTCTCTTGACCGCGCAGCTCGGCGTTAGGATGTTTTGTCGTGCAAGCCTTGTGAGACCTCGACCCTTCCTGAAAGTTCACAATACCTGTGTGACATTCAAAACGTTGTTCAATAGGAGAAAAAAAAAGTGCTTCTAGGAGAGATAAAAAAAACAACCAAAAGGATCGTGAACACGCTATTGATGCGGTGATACGTTATAATACCAAAAACGTAGTGCCAAAGTGACATGCATTACTTTTTTATTGGTATCTGTAACGTGTTACTTTTATTTCGAGGTTACCTAGAGGAGGTAACACGTCACTTTTATTTGCAAGTAACGAGACACGTATGTGTTACTTATTTTCGGTAGCGCTTACAACGCAGTGTGCCGTCAACGATCACATGCCGTCTCATGATGTCAAAATTAACGTGATAAGTCTGGGGGCACGGCAAGCAAATGAGACTGACTGAATTTATCTCGATGTTCGTTATCTCTGACTAAATGTGTCTTTCGGCTGCACCTTTGAGCTACAATACTTCCCAGTAATTACTTTATATAATTGGGTTAAATTGAACAAAAAGTACCCGCAAGAAGTAGCTTCACAAAGTTACAAATTACTGCAAAATTTTATTCAAGATATAGGTAGAGATACAGAGAAATAAAAGTACCTAGGTTTGTTCCTTAGATAACAACACAAATTCCTTAGGTACAGCACAAATTCCTTAGGTACAATACAAGTACCTATTTGCTAATTTGCTGTTACTTGTACCTAGATACCCTACAACCTTGCCTGACTAAGCATGCAAATTGACGGTGTCACCAAATACTTTACCAAGAAAAATAAATTCTCCTACATTCATTCACGCCAGCGCACCAACAGCGCCGTATGTTCTCCTAACGGGGTAGACACCACGCATCTGAGAGGATGCATGAGGACCGCACTGTCGACACTGACGAGAAGTAATTTGATGCCACGGAAATAAATGAATGAATGATTATCTTTATGGGAACGATATTTGTTTTAACAGGAAGCTTTAGTTAGGGATATGTTTTGGCTTGGGGAGTATTTTGGAGGACAGGGAGCCACTAGAAAAAAAGAAATTGGTTAATCAGTTTACTAACTACCAAAAAGGAATGGTTAACTTTTTAATTGTTGTATTTCAAAATTTCGAGGCCAAATGTAGTTGAAAATATGAGTTCGGACGTCCATTCGACCCCCAATACAGTATGCCCCAAGAAATTAACATGTAAAAGTTTATGTTACATTTTATCTAATAAGCCGTATAATTAACCAGTATTTCTTTTTCTTGCGGTCTTATGGCCCCAATTCAGCCCTGGGGCTAGCAATACCCTAACGCGACATATTCTTATTTCTTTTTTTAAATTCTGGTCCCTATAGAAGGAAACATCCTGTATATTTATATAAAACATGTTACCGTCTAAGAGTCGAAGTCTGCAACCCACAGCCCGCGGGTTGTACGCGGCCCGTGAGGCAGTTTCATGCCGACCCCGGCACGACACCAGAAAAAGCCCCTCCCCCCTTTTCCCCTGCCGCTTCCTCAAGCAGAATATAGACTCAAGGACCGCTCTATAGTATACACCAACTCATGTTTACAAACAAACCGGAGTGCCCCTAGCGGACGCCACCGGCGCCGCGAATGCGCGGTGGATGGTGGGCAAGAAGCCCGCCGTCGCCCATAAACAAACCATTGAATTGCGTTGTTGTCGGCGTCGGTGGGAATCCCCGTGCTCTTTTTCGCGTTGGAATTGTTGATGCTACGTCCTCCTAACAATGTCTGACTACTTGAGCGGCTTCAGCAAAACTAACGAGGCAAAACTTTGCGTGAATAATGTGACGTGCGGCGATTCATTTCACGTGGACGCCGCAGAATGGGCGCTAAAGCCTGACTCCCACGATGAGATTCTGCTCGCTGTTTTCAGACGTGACATTGCTCGGACTGCAAAAGCGTGGACCGTAGCTGAGATGGTGGACGTCGATACTGAAAACCGCAAGTAAAATCGGGCCTTACAAGTCGGTGATGGCCACCGGTAACAATAATGATAAACATCTTCTTGTATCTGTTTACACTTAACCTACTTACCCCAACCAACCTTCAAAAGTGTTTTGAGGCCTGCACTTAGTTCTTATCGAAATTACCGGGTCAACGTTTGGTTTACGGGCCGCTGTCGTTTGAACGAGCTGACGACAAAAAACAGCCAAGTTTGAAAGAGCAGACGACAGTTCGAACGCATGCGTAATGGGGTACGGACAAGAAGCACCGCGTCCCGCGTCAACAAACCACTCGAATGTCACGTTGTCGGCGTCTGTGTGAGTCTGCATACTCTTTTTCGCGTTGGAATTGTCGATTCTACGTCCTCATCGCAATGTCTTACCACTGTAATCGCCTAAGCGAAATTATCAAGGCTCGTTACGCCGCTAAACTTTCCGTAAATAATTTGACGTGCGGCGATTCGTTCGCGTGAACGCCGCAGAATGGACGCCAAAACCATAATGAGATTCTTCCAGCTATTTTCGGAAGCGACGTCGCTCGTGTTGCAAAAGTGTAGAAGGTAGCGGCGATGATCGACGTCGATATTGAGAATCGGAAGCGGGAACAGACCAAGCGTAACAAGTCGGTAATGGCCACCGGTACCAATGATCAACATCTTGTATCTACTGCTTACACCGAGCCTACTTAAGTCTGGTGAGGCCTGCACTTACTTCTTATTGCAATTACCGGGTCAAAGTTTGGTCTACAGGCCGCTTTTGTTTGAACGAGCAGACGACAAAAAGCAAACGTTTGAAAGAGCAGACGAAAGTTCGAACGATCAGGCGGCCGTGTGAATTTGAAGACGCACTGAACCCGTGGGTAGTTCGGACAACTTGGCGGTTTTCTCTCGTTTATGTTGGAACAAAGCAAATACATCTGGCGACCACAAAGTGTTGCCCGCGCACGCAATTGTAGTTCGACAGCGTCTGGTTTGCCCTTTTCACGGCTACTATCCACGTTTTCGGACCAACGGAGGGGGCAAAAACACATGAAAACTGATCTTCAAACCTTTCCAGACTCTCTTGGTACAACCCCCGTCGCAGCATTTTGACGAGAAGGCAGGTTTTTTGTCTCGTTTCTTCCAAGGGACCACAGGAATGCATGTCTGGCACGGCGACTTCTGCCCACCGCCCCAGACCGGAAGTGCGTCCGGCGCGCCACCACCGCGGCGTGACGTAGGAGAGTTGAGTTCGTGTACAGATGCCTTGCACGTACGTCATCAAAAGTTGCATGCTGGGATAGCCGCCACCATAGCTCCGTACCGAAACCAGTCGAAGCCGAATCGCCATTGCATCGCCCCCGTAGCCGGCCGAGTCATCCGCGTACGGCGAGCGTCTCTCCGCGATTTTGCTCTCCGCCTCGCCTTTTTGCCGAGTGTATTTTTTTGCCATGGTTGCATGCGCGATTGTCGGTTGTGCGAACAGGACAAGGAGCAAGAACCGTCGCGATCGCAACACGGTCGGCGACGCGAGGTTTTTCAGGCTGCCGAAGGTGATCACGCGCCAGTGTCAGCGCACGTTTGAGCTGTCAAATATGCGAAGAAACGCGTGGGTAACGACGATCAACAGAGCCGACCTGGTCGCAAACGATAACACACCCGTATGCAGCATCCACTTCGTCACAGGTAGGAACGTTTTCTGGCGTTTCTTTTTTGCGGGATCCGTCGGTAAACTGGGTGCTGGTGAAACATCGCAATGTAAACAAGTGCGCTCGCTGCACCGAGTCTCGCTGCCACGGACGCGCCAACGAACGCCGTTCTTCTCATCTTACAGGCGCTCCCTCGAAGTTGTTTGGTGAGACGAATCCTGACTGGATTCCCAGTCTCAAGCTTGCCTACACAGACAAGGGGGATCGTTCGGCTTCACGTCGCACCTCTCGATTCGAAAGGACGCGACGGCGCAGCAATGCGAAGACATCGGTACGCCCTCCACAGGATTTGGACGCGGACGAATCCAGTAACTTACTGTGCTGATTGTTAGAAACAGTTATGTGGTGCCTTTAACTAGTTGGTTTTGTTACATGCAGCTGATTATGAAATGTTTGAAATGTTTACATGTGTTTCATTGGTATCACACTAGATGGAGAGCCTGCAGCAGGACAGCGCTTGGACCCCCAGGACATCGAGAATGTCAGTATTTCCGAGGAGACAGGTAATCATGACCTTTGCGTCATTGCTTCGTGTTGACAATATCTTAAGCAGTGTCAAGGCCTTTGTGGAAGACATTTTTTAAGGTCTCGCTGCTTTATCTTAAGAGCTCGGTCACAAAGACTCCATTTCTCACTGCAGGCACCAGCGTGCAAACCGACGTCACAGCTGCCCACATTGCTGCAATGGAGGATGACCTGGCCTTTGTCAACACCGAGGTGTACGCATTGCGGCAGAGCAAAGAGGATTACCAGCTGACCGCAGCAGCCCTTCAGCGTGACCCCAAGAAGGTCAAGTGCTACACCGGATTAGAAAGTTTTGATGTCCTTTTAGGAGTGTACCTCCTGATTGAGTGTGCTGTGCATCACACCGCAACGAACAGCCTGAGCAAGTTTCAGGAATTCCTGGTTTTCCTGATGAAGTTGAGACTTAATTTAACATTCCAGGATCTGGCCTTTCGCTTTGGTGTGTCCGAGGCAACCACTAGTCGAGTTTTCGACCGCTGGTTGCATGTTGCCTACTTTCGCTTCAAAAGCCAAATCATCTGGCCAGAAAGACGAACGCTACAACAAACCATGCCACAGCCATTCTACGATGCCTTTGGGGACAAGGTGTCGGTTGTTCTGGACTGCTTTGAGATCAAGATTGAACGGCCCTCATCCTTGCTCCCAAGGGCACAGACGTGGTCCCAGTATAAATCAAGCAACACTGCCAAATTCTTCATAGGCATAGCACCACAGGGGGCCACCACTTTCATATCGGAGGGTTAGGGAGGGAGAACAAGCGACAAACATGTCACAGAGCACAGTGGAATCCTCGACAAGCTGCAACCGGGAGATGTTGTCCTAGCAGACCGCGGCTTTGACATTTCGGACAGTGTCGGACTTCATCGTGCCAAGCTCCATATACCCGCATTTACGAAGGGCAAGCAGCAGCTCAGTGTGTCAGATGTGGAGACAACAAGGAAGCTTGCCAATGTAAGAATACACGTTGAGAGGGTTATCGGCTTAGAACGCAACAAGTATGTGATTCTGAAGAGCACTTTGCCAGTCGACTTTGTTACATGCCGGCCTGGAGATGATCTGCCAGCAGTCGACAAAGTGGTAACGGTGTGCTGTGCCCTTTCGAACTTCTCTCCCTCAGTAGTACCGATAAATGATGCAGCTGCTGAATGAGGCAAAATGCCTGCCAATTCATCAGCTGTATCATACTCTCTTAGAAAGTAACTGGTGTGTTTGTTTTCCCTGCAGAACACTTGGAGAGCCAACCGTTGCAACCTACAGGGAGATTTTGGTGCTCGCAGTCTGGCACTGAGCGCGCGTTTAACTTGCACGTCATGCCCAGTGCCACAGTGCGGTTGGCATTTCTTGATCTTGCTCAGGTTTTTTTTCCGTAGACTGCAGTGATCGGCTCTTCAAGTGCTCTGCAGAGAAAGTAGATGGTCGGACACCTTCTACAGCATACCACGGTACCTGGACGTCTGTAATCTATGAACTCTGTCAATTTTAATCTTATTTAATTTTTCGCCACAAGCAAAGCAAAAGCAAATTTGATGCAAGTGTTCATACAGCGTGAGGAGAGTCTGCCAGTGTAAGGCGACACTTGTTTACGCTATAGATTAGAAACTTTGGTTAGTGCGGGGGATCGGTGGCCGAGTGGGCTAGCGCACACCAGCTTGGAGCACACAGAGCGAAAGCTAGCACTGCAGAACCCAGGATCCTGGGTTCAAGCCCCACCCCTGCCTGTTTCGATCTGGATGAGCATTGTACCGGCGTATGGTTGTGTATCACCACTGCGTGGTGCACGTTAAAGACCCCAGGCTAGCGGTTGTGCTGCATTGGCCAATTTTCTCATCTACAGCTGGGAGACTCTTCGCCTGTTGAGGCAGACCACGTTGTAGGCTGTGTAGACATACACACAACCCAATGTGTTTTTAGTTAGTGCAGTATGACCATTAGTTTCGGCTCTTAAGCATGCATGGCCCACTAGTGATGCGCAAATGAATGCCTGTTTGATGCTCATCCAGACAAATATGTCGCAGGCATCCCCGAGCACTCTATGGGACAACCAGTTTTTAAGAAACCGAACAGTCGTAAGTTTGAAACTCCGCAATTAATTTTTGTGACAGCCGATAGTGGAAAGCTAGATTCTGGAATGTTAAGTTACGTCTACTTCATGAGGAACACCATATAGTACTTTTAGAATTATTCAGTCTGTTCGGGGCAAAACTTACTTTTCCGAACTATACAGAGTTTGTTCTGGCCAGCCATGTCGAGCCAAAAAGGCCTGCTGTGGTTTTCGTTTTTCTAGCTTTGTTATTGCACTTAGATTGCTTGCAGAGACCCCAATAAAGTACTGTAAACTGCAGTGCTCCTGTTTCAATTGTGCATGTTATGTAGCGTTTGTTTTGTGAGGTGGACCCACCCAGTAACAGCGAAGCAGTTAAGTCACCTACAAGTGGCTTTTATTTGTAACCCACTATTGGACATTTCATCCTACCCTGCTTTCTCTGTTGAACGTTGTGAGCCATAATATTATCACTGAATCTAACAAGAATGCTGCAGAAAGTTACTAACAACACTGCACTAACTAGCAATATAAAGACACAAGCAAAAGGTTGGAAAGTATAACAAAACAGTTCAGTAGCTGCCTTCAGTAAGTGCAAGGAATCATTTTGCTGCCTTGCAGTCTGGGCAATACCACTGCTTCTTCTTCGAAGCGCGTGTAAGGCCAAGACACGTAAAATGAAACCATTTAAGCTTGCAGCCCTCGGCATCGCACGCAACCATTTTGCCCGACTCTGGGCCTCTGCAGAAGCAAAAGCAGCTCGGTTGAAGTCCCTGCTCTGCATCAGGTGCAGCGCTTCTCGTGAAGTAGTGCGAGAGCAACTCCGGAAGCACAGCGTGGACAAACAACAGAGTTGCTTTTGGCAGTACCTGCGACCAAAAGGCCCCATCCCTGAACACTCGTTCCACGTGTATATCTTTTGTAGTCCATACAACAAAGTCGCAGTACTCGACGTTGCAGACGGCCATTTGGGTTTGCAACTGGTAGAAGTACATGTGATCGTGCTTGAGCGATAGGCGTCCATTCACACGTTTCAAGCAGAATTTGGGGTCGGCGCACACATCTCGTGGTTCAGAGTCACTGCCGCTGCACTGCGGCAAGGCATCACTGCTCGTCGCAATGCAATGCGAGTCATTAACACAGCGCTGATCAGTGACATGCAGTTCTGAATCCCGCTGTGTGTATGGACACTTAACTTCAACAAGTCCACTCCCACAGCAGTCGCACTGTACCACGGCATCTGGGCTGGCTGCAAGGTGCGGATACCGTGTACTTAGATACAGCCCAGCCCTGCGGTACGTGAAGTTGGCATGGGCACTTTTGACCTTGCCCACGTAGCTCTGAACTGCCTCCTCTTCATGGTCCAGTCCCCATCTTGTTGCAGGCGTTGAAAACTTGCCGTCTTCAGGATAGCAAATGCGCTTTAGGACGCTCAGGGATGGTTTTTCGACGCTCGTCGAGCACACCGACTTCATTGTAGACGCGGTGACTCTCCCCGCCCGGTATGTGTACCATTTGGGGCACTTGGACTGGGCTCGTGTTGTTGCTTCGGCAAACTTGACCATTGCCGCACTAACAGAAAACGAAGCGAAAAATGCATCTGCCCGTTCGATCAATTTGTCAAGGGTGTCTGAGAGGGCTTCTTGGGTAAAGATACCCCGAAGCGTGCTTGGCTCTCTCGCTGTGGGGGGGGGGGGGGGGGGGGGGGGGGAACACATGGTTTTGTCCCTCGACCATCATCAGCACTGCTGGTTTTCGTTCGGCAGCAGAACATACGTCGTAAAGCCTTCTGAGTTCATCCTCGGATGGTTCCGGGATGGGGAGTCTCATGCTCGCAACAGCCTCTTCCTCACCGCACCCTTGAAGGCGTTTCTTCTTGCTCCTAGCCGAAGAGAAGTCGATCTCTCGCAGCCTCTTTGTATTCCACAGTCGATGTGTAGGCAGGCAGCCACCTGTCCTCTTTCTGGGTGCAGGTTGACGAGTCCCTGATTCTCACAATTGTCTCGACGGCGAAGAGTTTGGCACCAATATGCGAGCAAGCTTCTCCGGCTCCAGCCATACAAGTGCAGTGGGCAGTTATGATGCTGCCATCACCGTGCACAACGATCCAGACCTTGGCTGGGGTCTCCCTTAGCCTTTGGGAGTGGTTCACCTGAAATGACAAGCACAGAATGTAGATTAAGAACACCATTATTCATAGGGTTAAGCAGGGTGAACAAATGGAGGGATAGCGTTTTGGATAAGCACTTTCAAAAAAGAAAAATTAGATTGATTTCATAGCTCATAACAGCTGAAATCTCCTCTCGATTTTCTTTCTCCTTAAATTAATTCAGATCACGTTTTCCTGCATTGTGTAGTCATGCAATCGCAGCTTAAAGCTGTATACACACTCGAACGCCGTTTTTAAATTCAGCGCTCACCGCTGTTCGCTGCAGGCTTCAAACCTCTCTTGCATGCACTTCTACGCGGTAAGCTTCGGGCGACCGCCGAGCGAGCGTGCGTTGACCGAGCCAAGGTAAGAAAACGACGGTAGCGTACGTCGCGTACATACCTCGCTGAGCAAAAGGGTCCTGTCGCCGCTCATTCCACGCGCCGAGGGACCTTTCACCCAACCACTGGTGAAGTAATTGTGCGATTCAAGGGACTTGAACGCCTTCATCTCTTGAAGTGTCGCGTAGCTGACGGAGAACACCAGGTAATTGACCATGTCTCCGTGCGTGATGTTGGGGAAAACACCAGCGTCGGCCGTCGAGTCCACGCCGACGCAAAGCTCGTACGGATCTTCACTGTCGCAAAGTTCTAACTTCTTCACATATCTGGCTCTTGTGGGGCCAACGAGCTCGTCGAAGTAGCCAGGACAAATCGGCACACTGCGCTCTTGCGACGGTGGCATCTTTTTCCCGAGTGCGCTGCCTAAATAGACTAGAGCGACTCGTTTGTCGAGTGACTGACTTCAGAAAACACGTGAGGTGATTAAAACAACAGAAAAAGAAAGACGTGAAGCTGCCAAAACGCGCAAAAACTGGCCGACTACACGGACCGGGTCATACCGAAGGCTTGCCAAGCGCTCGGGCGCTCGCGGTGGTACGGAAAGATGGCGGCGGGGGGCGGAGCATCGCGGCGTGATGTAACTTGAAATCACGTGCATCAAATGGGGTTAGACAGAAACAAGAAGCACATCCAGTTGGCATTATCCGGCATTACCATACTTGTATAGAGAATGTCTTCACTTCCTTTTTGCCTCTTCTTCGCCTGCCCAACAACCAACCTCCCCCCCCCCCCCCCCCTTCCCTCCCCTTCGAGACTTGCCGTCCGACCCCCTCGGTGTCGGCTTCGTGAAGACTAGGCTCGCCGCTGCAAAGGGTTGACGACTCCCGTCCTAGGTGATAAGTGTTTGGAAGTGCAGAAGTGTTTCCTATCGTCAAGGACACGAATAGATTAGAGGATAGCAAACGCTTGCCATGATTATACACAGAGGTCAATGTTTCGAAGTGCATCCCGTCTGCGTCACCAATTTCAGAAAACCTTACTGTAGAATAGGACTTTTTTATTTTCTATTTTCTCTACAAGCTGAATGTCTTGGATAGGGCTCGAGAATAATAAAAAAAACAAAAGAAATAAAGTCTCTCCTAAAACGTGGAAAAACATTTGATAGAAACCGCACAAATTATCCAAATTGTTAATGTATTTTTTTTTGTGAGTGGCGCTGCGCATTTTTGGCGTGTAAACATCACACTTAGGGACATAGTCAAAAAGACCCATTTGTAGCATAAATCTTTGTACTAGGTGATTTCTGAATTCATTCATTACAATTTTCTCCTAGAATTGTAGGCACAACTACGAATGCACGGGCGGAATATTATTACTTTTCATCCTGACAACTTTTTCATCCTGACAACTGCTGAATCCGTACGCTTAAGTGGTTCCCTTTCTGAGATTCGGTGCTATGTCAACTATGTAAATTTAAGAAGTTCATTAGAACTGTCTGATTCTATAGAGACCCATAAAGAGCCTGTGCCTCACGCTCACAACCGCAGGCCTGCTGCAAAATAAAGCAAACGAAAAAAACAACCAGGGAGGTCCCAACCGATAAGCAGAGTAGCAAATCAACAGTCACAAAGAGAAAGAGAGCGAGACGTGCGATAATCGCGCTTTTTATTGTTGAAAGTTATATTTCTTCTATAGCGAAGGTAAGTCTAGCAGCCACGCACGCGTGCTGAGACCGCGAAAAACTGTATATTTTTATTTTCCTGTCAGAGAGCTGCCGAAGAGGAAGTACTCTAGAAGGCATCTTGGTGTACGAACTTCCGCGATGGCCAGGCTTGACGACATCCTAATGTTTTGTTTTTGTTATGGAACCATGGCCCTCGGTGTCTTCCTGTTGGTGCCGTTCAAGATGAGCAAGAAGCTGCACGAAGCGTTCTTCGCGCGCATTGTGTTCCCCCTGGTGATGCACATTTGGGGGGACCGGTTTACTGCGGTACGTCGGCAAGCCATGTCGCAGCTAAACGACCTGGTGTCCCACGACGGCACACTCAAGAAGGAGGGCGCCATCAGGGTCCTGGAGATCGGCGCCGGCTTCGGCGCCAACTTGGAGCACGTGCAGCGGAACGTGAAGTACTGGAACGTAGACCCGAATGCGGAGTTTGACGACGGATTCCGGAAAAACCTGAAAAAGAACCCGAACGTGGAAATGGAACGCTGGATTCACGAGTACGCCGAGGACATGCAAGGGGTTCCCGAGGGTCACTTCGATGTAGTGCTGATCACCTACGTGCTTTGCTCCGTGACCGAAGTGAGGAAAGTTCTCGCTGAGTGCAGGAGAGTGCTTGCGAAGGTACGTGACTGAAATTTTTAAATGACTATCTTTGACTATTAGCGGCGAGATGTTTTGGTGGCGCCATCCTATGGTTCCCTCTCGTGACGTCATTACCTCGCGAACAACAAGTTCGATGGTGTTTGTAATGAGCTTGGTGGAAGCTTGAAATCATTGCACTTTGAAACTAACGCTGCCAACACCGCCAAAATTGAATTTCTTCCATTCCTCTTATTTCCGTTGAAGAGATCTTTTGCTCACGTTATAATCATCATTCAACCAACCGTGGAAGACCGATCACAGCGGCTCTTTCGATCGCACACGTCGAGTCTGATATGACAAGGGTCGTGAAAACGCCTGCCTGTCAAGGTTGGCTATTTATCAAAAAGCTTGAGGGGCCAAGCCACAACCGTAGGTTGTACATTTATTAACTTCGACTTAACTTCCATGTGAGAAAGTTAGCAAAGACGTCGCAAAGGCGTGGAAGCACATTTCAATTTCGGAAAACGACGGTATAGATAAACGGCGTCCTACAAAACGTTATTTATTTGTGTAAGGCTAGGCTGGGTTACATTGGATTAGATTAGATTAGTCTATATCGGATAGGTTAGGCCGGGTTGGGCTAGGCCCATCGGCAGTTTGATAGGTCGAACCCATGTTACGGATTTAAAAAAAAAAGAAGAAAAAAAAAAATAGGACGCGGGATGGCAAAAACAAGAAAAAACTCTTTTCGTGTAAGGCTCGTCAAATTATGAACTGCTGGAGAAAACTAGCCTTCTGCGTTAAGTTGTTATTTCGAACTTTTTTTGTTCGCGTTCCGCCCATCGAAAAGCATGCGGGAAGCGCCTTATCACGGACCTCGTATCGCTGCGCCGCAGTGTTCTTCCGCAGCATAAAAGCCGTCTGCCTTCATCGCCGTCACCATAGAGTTATTACAATAAACGCTAGAGGCTCAGGTGGCGCTAGTGTGCTGTTGCATTTCGATGTAGACAGCAAGCAGTCAGAAGTTGACTTTTGGTAATGCATTTGTATGGGAAAGAGCGAGTGCATTTTCTCTCTGCGCTTGATTATAAGAGCAAATATCACGAATAATTTGTACGTACTAGGCACATTAGAACATTCTTCAGTCACGCAGACGAAATAATTGGTGAGTTGGAGCATTTTATACTCCACTCGAAAAAAATAAACACGCCCCCAGAGCGATAAACACGCCCCTGCGTGACTAAGCAATGTTTTGAGGCTCCAATTCAACGAGCACTCGCGCTGTCGCGAATACCAGCACTACATGGAAAATAAACACCGCGGTTGAAAAAAAAAACAAAAAAACTTACCGAGAGAAGAAGCTTAGCCCCGTGTCGTTCCGACAGAAGGGCAGCAAAAGCACGTTGGGCGCCATGTGGTAGGGTTGCCTTGCTGCATGCCCATCCGGGAGGAACAACACGAAGCCGGGGCTTCCAAAACGAGAAACTACATTTATTAAAGTGACATCAAAGGGTTGTTAGTAGAAAAGTATAATAATGCCGGGCATTCGACCTACACGGCCCCGTGTCACCGGTCCGTCTCACCTTTTTTGTGTGGGCGTGTGCCCTCTTTTATAGACTTCTGCGCCTGTCATATACGTGCGCTATTGCGCGCCTCGGCCGTTGTCCAGTTTGGGCATTCGGCAGCGGCCTCTGGCCGTGGTGGGAGACTCTTGCTCCCACAAGCTTCACCGTATAGATGGCGGCATCGTGGCAGTGTCTCGTCGTAAGAGTTTTTATGAGGTTTTAAGGCACTCGGTCCTAAGGAGTGGCAAGCGTCTGAACGGGTCTTCAAAGACCAACGGCAGGCGATGTTAATGTGTCTGCGGAGAATTCTCGCTCATGACTAGTCGGATCGCAGAAAAGAATGCGATACTTAGCTACGCCATAAGTTTATCGTCATATTCGAAGCTTTGAACGTCGTCTCGGCCGACGCGTGCCCCGAAAGAGCTTGTAATGTCGCCGTTGATGTATTTCAATCAGTGAGTAAGTGCAACAACAAATCCCTGCAAATCTGCTTTGGACCACGTAGTGTTGAGCTTACAGCGGCCGTATAGCCAGTCACAGATGAATAGCAATCCGCGTTTTCTGCAAAACACCCGTAGGGGAATTTTACGTTATATTGTGGAGCGTGGTCTGGTTAATGGAAACCTCTCCGCCCCCTCCCCCCCCCCCCCCCCCACACACACACACACAAGATCCCCAGTCTCCATCCCGTCCCCACCGCCCCAGAAAAAAAAAAAAAACCCATAATATGAGAGTTTTTTTACTAACGAGACAAAAATGTATGCATTTATCAAGTTCCCGTAAACGTTGCTCAGTTAGCGGGTTCCTCCATACTAACGGGGCCCGTAAAACGAGATATGACCGTGCTTTCATCCAGAATGTTCGTTCTTTCACAGGGTGGCAGGTTGGTATTCCTGGAGCACGTGGCTCATCCAGCAGGAACCTGGGGTTCCGTCGTACAGACGCTGCTCGATCCAATGTGGAGTTTCTCTTTCTGCGGATGTCACATAAACAGGCGACCGGAACAGCTCCTCATGAGTGCAGGCTTTGACGAGATAAAACTCACCGAAGTGTTTTTGAATATGCCTACGGTGCTGAGTCCCAACGTGTACGGCTCCGCCGTTGTAGTCAAGAACTGATTTTTCATGCCGTGATAGTGTCTTACTTGGCATATATGTCTAGAAAGAGAACAAAAATGATCTAGACGCACTCTCCGCGTGGGGCAGTGATTGCGATATGCTGCTTTTGTTTGTCGCGTGTGTGTTCCTGCTGTCGGTTACGAAGACACTCGCTCAGCTGTTGACACTGTGCCCTCTGAGGCTCTGCCTTGATTTACGTAGCCTTAGATTGGACGACGAACTGAATCAATAAAGAGATCACGGCGCCAGCTGCCATCGAAACTATCGAGACAAATACGAATAGCGCCGCTTAAAAGAGCATGTCGTTCATTGTAGTCACTGGACTTGTGCTCTTTTTTTTTTCTTTTTCTTTTTTTTTTTTTATGGAGGCGGTTAATTTAACATACAAGAAGGTACAGTCCTGCTTTCTTCGTTATGTATAGACAGAATTAAGGCGTTAGCTTGCAAAGTGCCGGTGCCACTCTAGCCCACGCTCCCCCTCCGAATTTTGCTTCCTCCCGAACTCTGCCGCCCAAGGCCTTAGGCTTTGAGAACGCCAATGTAGCTTCAGTTGCGAACCGTCACTGCCAAGTGTGCAGATGGCTCGACTATTTCCACACGAAATTGTATAATAAATTGCCTACATATTTGTATGATTTCAAAGAAGCGTGTATATTGGAGGACATTAACAGCCTTGGCCATAATATAACAAAAAGTGCACCCAAGTGAATTGAGCGACAGAGTGACGATTGTGTGTTTGTGTCGTAACCCAGTCAATATATTTTGGTTTTGTCGTGATTGATTAATTTCACGTAGGAACCGAAAGTAAAAAAAAAAAGATAAGAGGTTTTTTTTCTTTTTTTTTTTTTTTCTTTTTTTAATCTGATCCGCGGTTCTATATTGTGTCGTCTTCTCCGGGGTCTGAAGTTATAACAGTGGCGAGGAGTCAGGACGATGAAGAGACCCACAGCCAGGGGGATCCTTTGGTCATCATAGGAACAGACCGTACGACCTCTAATTTACGGATGGATCACCAACTACCGGAGTTCGATGACGACAAGAACAAATGAAGCGCGTACCTCATCAAGGTGGAGGCATACTTCGAAGGCAACAAGGTGTAGGCCGACGCGAAGAAACGCGCGTTGCTCGTCGCGACACAGGGAACCAAAACGGTTTTGAATACTCTGCGGAAGAATAGCTCTACGAAAACCTAACTCTCTCACATTTGCGGAAGTCAAAGAGCGCTAGATGTGTACTCCGGTCCCCAGACCAATGAAATATCGGAGAGGTTTAAGTTTTTCAATCGTTGCCAGAAAGAGAAAAAGTCTTTAATTAAACTTGAGGAAGAAAACGAGAAGTTACGGACAAACACAAACTTCCAACTGGCAACAACATTTATTGACACCAAGAACTCATCTCTGTTACGTCACGCCGCGGTGGTGGCGCGTCGGACGCACTTCCGGTTCGGGGCTGTGGGCGGAAGTGTCCATGTGAGACGTGTATTCCTGGGTTGTTTTGAAAGGAACCAGACAAAAACCTGCCTTCTCGTCAAAATTCTGCGACTGGGGCCGTACCAAAAGTGTCGAGAAAGATTTGAAGGTCAGTTTTCATGCGCTCGGTTCGTCCGAGAACGCGGATATGTGCCGTAAAAAGGGAAAACCAGACGCCGTCGGACCAGGATTGCTTGGGCGGGAAGCATTTTGGGTTGAATTCACGGATACTTCTGGTCATCAAATTTATTTGTTTTGTTCCAAAATGAGCGCCGGAAAATCGTCAAGTTGTATACGGACCACCTGCGGACTCCGTTCAGTGCGTCTTCAAGTTCAAACGGCCGCCTGATCGTTCGAACTGTCGTCTGCTCTTCCAAACGCTTCTGCTTGTCGTCTGCTCTTTTAGAGGACACCGGCCCGTAGACCAAACGTGGGCCTGGTACTTGCGATAAGAAGTAAGTGCAGGCATCAAAAGACTGACGTTTGAAGGTTGGTAAGCAGGCTGGACGTAAACAGTAGATACAAGGAGATGCTGATCATTGTTACCAGTGGCCATCACCGACTTGTTATGCCTGATTCACTTGGTTAGATTCTGCTTGCGATTTTTAGTATGGACGTCGACATCTCAGCTACGGTTCACGCTTTTGCAGTCCGAGCGACGTCGCTAGTGAAATTTGCGAGCGAGATCTCATCATGTGAATCAGGCTTTAGCGTGCATTCTGCGGCGTCCACGCGGAATGAATTGCCGCATGTCAGATGATTCACGCTAAGTTTTGCGGTGTAACGAGCCTCAGTAATTTCGCTGACGCCGCTCAAGTAGTCAGACATCGTTAGGAGGACGTAGAATCAACAATTTCAACGCCAAAAAGAGCGCGGAGACTCACACCGACGCCGACAACATCGCATTTCAATGGTTTGTTTATGAGCGACGGCGAGCTTCTTGCCCACACCCCCAACGCGCATGCGCGGCGCCGGTGGCGTCCGCTAGGGGCGCTTCAGGCGCTCCGGTTTGTTTGTAAACATGAGTTGGTGTATATACAAGAAAAGGAAGGATTGAAAAAAGGTGGAAAGGAGGAGAACTATGCCGTCAAGGGTACGTCGCTGTCGGAAACGTGGGGGGAGAAAGCTCTGAACTAAGAAGTCTTATCTCTTTCCCCGAAAGGGCAATGCAGGGGGAACCGATGTTGTCCTTGGATCGACATATGGCGAAGGCTTCTAGTATCATCCCGACCATACCTCGAGGTGTGGCCCCCGATTCTTGTAGTAGAGGGAAGGACGACCAAGCAGGAAGTACATTCCTATGCGTGTTTGGTGATCGGGAGGTAAATATAACCTCTGAACCGTTGTAGACCGCTTGTTTAACCGCGTTCGCGTGTTCTCTCAGGCGATCGTTTAAGGTAAAACCCCATCCTCACTTAGTGTGATTCTAGAACAAGAGGTGGCGCTCGCATCTTCATGCAGACCTAGACATGAACAGATAAAGTCGTGTATAATGGCGCCTCGATAGAGTGTGCATTTTGCCTTCTCTTTAATTTTGTCGTCCCTGGTCATTGTTTAGTTTCTTAAAAACTTGATGCTTCTACGAAGTGCGATCCGGTTTGTATGCGGTGTCATGCAGATGGAGGATTTGATAACCGACGGCACCGTGCGCCCAAGAGCGTCACTTTTTTTTTTTTCATACTTTTTGTGTTCTTGTATTTACTTCTCTTTTTATGCTTCTATCATCATCTTAGGGGCCTCTATGAAAAAAAAAATGTTTTTATTTTAGCGATGACGCGTCGCGCTTTCTTTTCCTCGGCGAATCAGCCTGGAAATAAATTACGTACCCCAGCGAGGAGCGCTGCTTTGTTGAACGTCGATAGACTACGCCGGCCCTCATGCAGCGGAAGCATCCTTCCGATTGAGATAGAAAGAAAACTACAACAAAAGCGTCAGGAATTCGTCAAAAAGTGCGGAACGCCCCACTGCCCTATCTTTGGTGGTGTGGTAGTAAAGAGAAAATCATTTTACAATACATCTGTTGTAGTTTTTTTTCTTTTTTTTTTTTTATTGCGGTCCTGGTTTATGCTTACTATTACGTTTCATTATTATGCCGCCAGTTGTTTAAACTTTCAAATGACAGATTCCCAATTTTCTTTTTGAACTATAATACGCCAATAATTAGCACAAAAGCATTTATTTTTATTGTTTTGTCGGGAGCCTGGTCCCAGGTTTCTTAGCTGTTTATTTTTATAAAACATGGAGGATTGGAAACATCTATCGACATGGAGGTTTTATAGTACCATTTTGTGGTCCAAACCTACTCCAGAATAGCTCTCAGTACTCCTTTTTAGCGAGAAAAAGAGTACGTTAAGTGCTATATTTTTTTGTTTCTGCAATGTTCAGTTTGGTAAATGCATTAAAGGGCTCGAGGAACGGTCGCATACTATACACATAGCAAATAAAACAAAACAATTGCGAAATAACTCATAACACTATTTTATTTGACGTGACTTGAATACCTGTACGCGGGTCGTCAAAGATTAAAAAATAACGTTGGATTACAAATTTGTGTTTTGCGGTTAACTATTGAGCATGTATTTGGCAGTGTAGCTGTTGTTGTTGTTTGTATTTTTGTGGACTTACTTGGGGTTCGCACATAGCAAACAGCACATAAAAATGAATGGCGACGTTAGAAAAATTTTTTTACACATTTCGCGCAACCGCTGTATAGATGCCTGGCATCAGTTCTTCGTCTTACGCTAGCTTTGAGCGCTGCTAAGCTCAAGGAAACAAAGTCAAAGCTGTGGAAGGTACTGACAAAATATGTGGTGTGTAGTCTCGATTTCCACTTCTCAGGAATCAGGGCGAAGAGGATAAAACTCCGCAGACAACATCTAAGCGGAGGCGCCGCCGCCCCTACTTTGGTGACACAGGCGGCCCAAATGAAGCCGGAGAGAACTCATAAGTGTTCGGCATGGGCATACCCTCTGTAGCGCTTTGAATAACCATAGAATACGTATCTTTTATCGTATCCTGCGATGGGCTAAACCCCAAGCTGCAGCCTGTCGGGTGCCATCATGAGCCAATTCAAAATACATGTGTTATATTGTTTAGTGAATACGCATGGTGGTTTCTAACGGGCTCGTGGTTGGACCCGGCGGGCCGTAGCCTGGTAGCCGTGTTGTACATCGCTGGGGTAGACAAACTTTAAATGTAACATTTGGCTCCCCGATGAGGTTATCAAACAATTTGTGAGAGCCGCAGATGGCGACGTTCAGTCGGCCTTGTCTTTCCATGGCGAATGTCACAATCTTGATAGCGTTTGTCATACGTCACGCGCGGCACTTGAACAATCGCCATAGGCGACAATCTCGCTGATCAGCTAGCCAATGGAGGTGTTAGCCCTAGATGTATATTGAACCGCGGCAACTAACCTAAAACGCTGATAATTATATATTTCCATCAACAGCAAAAAAGACACTGCCACAAGCTTGCCGCTTCAGCAGCGAAAGCAATCTCTACAGATCTGGGGAGGTAAGATGTGCTGCAATATTGGAAAGTATATATGTGCGTATTCCTCGGACAAAGGCAACGTAATACTTTGAAAGAACCTATGGTCGGAGAATGTAGAATAGAGCACTGCCCGAAAGCTCAAGCCCCGATCGATCCGCGGGTCTGGGCCGGGTCGCGAAGCGTATGTATCTTTCAAGACCGGGCCGGGCTCGGGATTGTTACAAACATATTTCGGGCCAAGCCGGCCCGCAAAGCCGGGGCCAGCCAAGTGAACCAATCCATGTCGGGCGCGGAAACGTTTTAAAATAATAAAAACACGACTCGGCCCTCTTTTAT